AACAGGTATTGGGTACTTTTTTTATGACACTGGTAATAAAACAATTAAGGGGTGACAGTTGAAATGGTGATCGAAATGGGAAAACACGGTATGTTGTTAATAACGAAGTGTGGTCCCTTGCTTTTTAAAATAAAAGTAGAAGTCTGTACACATATAGATGTACACCATGTACCTGATTTTCATACATGATGCTCGGAGCAGATGGAGCTGCTTCAGCAGCGCTATTTTGGTTGTAATATGTACTAGGGCTTTGCTGGAAACTAGATGCAGGTGGGGAATTTAAACTGCGGTCCGAGGCTGCACTGTAAACAGGAGGAGGAAGAGCAAACCTCTCGGGTGCATTTCCTTTCCGTCCACTAAACAAATGAATGGCAGATGAAATAAGAATTCACTTACACCCACATATTCCCATGCGCTGTACGCATAAAGAATAAAAAGGGAAGAAAATAGCACGTTACCCCAACAAATTAAGCTCCACTGATGCTTTATATTGGGATGGAATTTCCATCAATGCGGCAAGAGCAAATTCAGTCTCTTTCCGAGACTGGGGCACATCTTTAGACATAATTTCTGTAAAATTGACAAACTGAAAAACGAAAGAATTCCGATAGAGTCAAGTATGCCAAATGTATCTAATAAATTCACCTGCTCATTTGAAAAAATAATACAAAAAATACACTAAACTGACCTGGAAGTTATCGAAATCCCGAGCAGGGATGTTATCATCAAATTCTGTCATTGTGTCCCAGGGGCCATCTCCAACCCCAACCAAAATAATTGACAAAGGAAACTTGCTGTTGTAACGACAAATATCAAGACTGCGCTACAGTTATGAAATATAATAAAAAATGGATAACCACAAAATGTACCTTGCTTCAACAATTGCTTGTACAGTTTTCTGCTCCTGTGGACTTAACTGACCAGGTTCAGTATCAACACTTCTGGTTACCTATGGTGATGAACAAATTTGATGAAATGGAGTAGAACTGACACAAAAACACAGAGAACTTCAACCATTGCATGAAAGCCAAATATCTAAGCATTACATTACGTTCAACTATCTAAGCATTACATTACGTTCATTCATAGAAGTTTGAATGCCGAAAATTTTGCTACCACGTTCACATTATGTATCATAAAGTTAGAACCATGTTCATATGTAAAAATATTTACTTCTCTACAGTCGGATGTCTAGTGAAGAAAGTACACACAAAGTAAAATAGCATGAAAGGATATTATTGAAATCGTAATACTGGCAACATCATTATTTTGCATGGAGTTGGGGAGACATAATTCTACAGTTAGTTGTCAATTTGACAATGAGATGTAACATTGAAATGATTGAACAAAAATATATCATCAGCAAAATCAATTCTATATGTTTAGCATCTTATAATTAAACAACTTGAGCAGATTAGAGTGACCTGAAGAATACTAAAAAGAATTTGTAGTTGACAGCTTAAGCTTTTAGACCAGGTGCATCAACATAGTTTTTCCTCTTCATTCCCCAAAACCCGAAAAACTTGAGAAAAAATGCAAAGAAAAAATACCTGTCCATCTGCAATAATCAGTAAAACATGGTATTGGCCTCCACTCTGCTCGACAATAGACATGGCCATTTCAATGATAGGAGCAAACGACGTTGGACCTGCAGCAAAGAGAAAGAACCTTAGCCATAAATCGAATTAGCATTAAAAACTAAACTAAACTAAAGTCATAGGTTCGGTAAGTATCAAACCAGCCAGTTTTAAATGAGGAACAATTTCTCTGTAACGAGTTAACACTTCTTCAAATTTATTGCAAAATCTATCAGGGTAGAAACTAAAAACGTCTTGATCATGAGTTGATGCTGCCAAAATTTAAACAAAGAAGCACAGGTTACAATTTTTATGATTTAAAAAGCTAAGTTACAAAACTTGAGAAACAAGAACACAATTTTATCATAAAATACCATCTCCAAATCCAAAACAGGGGATCAAATTATCATCGTCAAAAGCCGCCAAGGTTTTTCCAATAATTGATATAGCTTGCTCATAGGGATTCCAACCACTTCCAATATGATGTAGGCTTCGACCATTATACGATAACTTACCTAAACAGGGATTCAAGTTCAGTTTATAGCACCTCAATATATAAAGCATAATTAATCCATCGAAAAAGAAGTGCTTAACCTGTCCATTCATTGCTCTTCGTGAAATCAATACCAATAATTAGGTTGGAAGACTCAAGGCCAGAACGTCTAAGTGCTTCAGTCACCTATAGTAAACCGTGTTAACATTTCAAGCTTTTGAGAAAGCTTAAATGCTAAATAGACTCGAGAAAAAAGCCATATATGAAATTAAAAAAAGAAAAAGGATTACACAATGATGCAGGAAAACACGAAGCATCTACGCACCAAAGCATTAATTCTAGAAAATACTCGTGATAAATGAAGTTTCAATTGCCTTGTGTATTGAACATATTCTGTTTGGGTACACCAAGAAAATTGAATTACAATTAGAGGAAACGATAGAACAAGAATTTCACATACTAAGTGCACAAGTTAAGACATTCACTAGATAAAATCACATAAATTGTACACCGAATTTCAGAAAATAGATGCCAATTTGGCCAATTTGTATAGTACATACCTCAGACAGAGAATTATAATTGTCGGCAATCCTTGAATACCTCCTGTCGAACTTCCTTTGCCGTGGCAGTTGAGATGGAGCCCCATAAGTTTGAGGAGGAGCCCCAGAAGTTTGAGAAGTTTGAGGAGGAGCCCCAGAAGTTTGAGAAGTTTGAGGAGGAGCCCCAGAAGTTTGAGAAGTTTGAGGAGGAGCCCCAGAAGTTTGAGAAGTTTGAGGAGGAGCCCCAGAAGTTTGAGAAGTTTGAGGAGGAGCCCCAGAAGTTTGAGAAGTTTGAGGAGGAGCCCCAGAAGTTTGAGAAGTTTGAGGACGAGCCCCAGAAGCTTGAGGAGGAGCATAATACTGATTTGGTGGCGGATATCCTGCTGGATAAGGATGCTGCACGGGATAATTCTGGGCATATTGTGAATATGATGACTGAGGAGGATTTCCATGCTGCCATGGAGATGAAGAACTAGACTGAAATGATGAAGATGGCCTCCCACTCTCCTCACTACTAGGACTTGAACTATTGTTCCCCATCAAATCAAATTATCAGCAAAATTCTTTTAATAGGACAAACTCGATTCCTCTACGACAGAGATTTAAAGGAACCTGTCGAAAACAATACCCTCAATTCAACAAAAAAACCCTAAGCACTAGTCATAACAAGAGAAGAATTTGAATAAATCGTCCAAATCAATTACCAAAAATTCAATAAAACAGTAATTTTCTGATCAAGATAAAACTCCTCCAAATTTCTTATTAAGATGTGGAACACATATCTTATATATCAAATATATTTCCATGCACGAGAAAGTTCAATGAAATTTCATTTATCGATTAAAGAACTCGTAAAATTTATGCCGACTCCACATAACCCTCAGCAATCCAGAATCTTCCACATTAACTTCCACATACGTAGTATTTATCTGCAATAACTCTACATTTTCCAAATCCAAAATATACTAAATTCCAAAATGTGAACTGACGTGTGGATATAGATTTCCAAACACGTCAAATTTAAAAATATACATATCAATACAGAAAAGTAAACTGAATGATATCTTAGCCGATAAGCGAAAACCTAGACATTCCGTCAAATCAAATCACCTCCGTTTTCCACTGCCAAAGAAACCTCAGAAATTACTGGCTAGTTTTGAATCAATTTTAATTGATTCTGTTGCAGCGATTTTTTCTCTAGTGGTGGTTGAATTGGAGGACAAAATCTTTTGAAAAACAGGAGTAATCGAGGAAAAGGCAAAAAGGGGTTAAACTTTCTTAATTAATTTTTAAAGATTTTCGTTCAGATCGTTAATTAGTATTTAATAATTCTATTTGAGTTTGTTGGACAAAGGTTTCGGAGCATGGGCCCTTAGTCCGACCCGATTTCAACTCGGTTTCAGGTCGACGGTACCCAGCGGACACGTGTTGGAAACGTAGGCTCCGGATCCGAATAATGAATTGTAGTTCAAATATAGGAATATCCATTGATTTTCAAGTTTTATTGGGTTGATTCCAATAATTGTCACCAAACTTTACCTGTACCAATAATGAACCTTTAAAACATTTTTGTTTACTTCACCAATCATTAAAACACGTTTTGATTATATAACCGCATTAGTCAACTAATCTTTTCTTTTTTCTATTTTTTTTTTTGGACAAAATATCCTACGTTAGCGACTAAAAGATTGTAACAAAGCAATAAAATTGAACGGAGCAAGATGTCTGTTTAGAAACTACCAAAAAATAAGTTAACTTTATCTTCGTTAAGAAAGAATGAGCCAATTGCAATTTAAGTTCTCAATCTATGCGTAATCCTCAAATTGGTGCCTCCCTCCAACTCGTGTTCTTCGTCATTAAGTCCATATTCTTAATTTTGTAATAATAGATGATTTTCGTCAAATTACAAAAAATAAAGTCATGAGCAGTGCAAGTGACATATTGGATAAAGATACGGATATAAATGATTTTCAAAAAATAATAACTAAAAAGAATCTTATTATCTAGTATCAATCTAAATGTTATTGAGAGTCTAGTTGTATACATAAATCTCGTCCGTGCTTAGAGATGTTAGTTAGCCAAATACGACCCTTTTTTCGTGGTCGGGCCCTATCCAACCTATTGATATAATTCATATTTACAGGCCAAGCTCAACAAGGGTCGAGCTTAACAAACCCGATCTTTGATCCATTACCACACCTAATTTCCACCCCCTCTCCCTATCCCCTATTAATATTCATAGGTAGTTAATAGTTTCCTTATCCCTATCTCTCGTCCATTAGTTTTGTCTTCCAATCACTATTTTCAGTTTCAGTCGTGTCTACTATGATTTTATTTTTGTCTCATCCCTCGTATTGGAGGTGCCTCCTCAATTATCGATTAATGCCTTGAGAATGGAAGTTTGGTGAAAAAGTGGGAACCACAAGACAAGTGGGGGAAGCGTTCGGCTAAGGGGTGGTGGATCGGGATAAACTTTATTTTTTAATTTTCTTTTTGAATTACTTGAATTGATATTTTAATTTTTCTTTTTTGAAAGCAACTAATACTTTAAGAGTGCCTTTGATTGTCAAAATTTTTCATGAAAAACGTATTTTTTCACCCAAATTTTACTTTTGTGCTGTTTGATTGCCTTTTTTTCCTAGAAAAATATTTTCCTACTTTTGGTTGCGTGATCATATTCTTCTCAAAAATAAGGAAAATATTTTATTTAGAGGGAATTCTCTCTCTCTCTCTCTCTCTTCTTCCAACCAATAAAAACATACAAGTACAATATTTTCTATGTTGAAAATTAAATCAATGAAACACGTTTAATTGACAATTTCTATTCAAATAAGTTATAGGCAATTGAATTATCTAGACTTTATTTTCTTTCCATACAAATTCCATGCAATCAAAAGCACCCTAATTGCTATACAATTGGACTTTATAATGTCAAAAAGAAGAAAATTGTTTAATGAAAATATTAATAAAATTTGAAAGGCAGGGATCCATATATTACAAAATAAAAGTCGAGGACCTTTGACGATATTACCTCACCATCCACGTCGGCACCAAGCTCCATTCATAAATCTTGCTCATATATACATTAAGCCCCCGTTTGGCCTCCATTAAATTACATTCCATTATATTCTATTTTTCTCTCTCTTATTTTCAACCACACAATCTTCTATAAAATAATATTATACATAAATCGAAAACTTTTCATTCTTTTTCAACCACTCATTTTTCAAAAGAGTAATGCTATTCGTAGTCGCTCACTGCGGTAGTCGCCCTACGTGGCATACACATGATATGTGATTATTTGATGCATTAATATGATAATTTTTTTAATTCATTAATGCATCAAATAACCACCTGCCATGTGTATGTCACGTAAGGCGACTACCGCAGTGAGCGACTATAAATAATATTATTCTTTTTAAAAAAAATATTATTTCACCCATTTTCATTACCCAAAATGGGAGTCAAACGGGGGCTAAATTTGACATTGTTATGAAATGTCAACTTTTTATACATTCATTAGTTTTAAGAACACTTTAAAAAACTAATTACTCACATAATGAAGTGTCAAACTTGTCAAGCTCTATTCTTTTTTCTGTCCATGCAAAGCATCACCATGGCATTTAAACAGTTCCTTGTCCTTTTATTTTCCAGATTTTGTGCATTAATAACATTTAACACGCACATATAACATTCCCCCCAAAAGGAAATTATTCAAAATAAACCATAAAACAATTAATTCACCATATTTTGCTTCGTCCTTCAGGCTTGCTTGAGAGTTTCACAGTAGCGATTGTAAGCGTTTTTTAAATTATCGATTTTTAGTGATTTTAATAGTAATTTTTAAAAATAGTTTAACCCATGTTTGGAACTTTATTATTCTTAGATTCTAAATTTTAAAAAAAAATATATATATAATTACATATATGTCCCTTATAGTGAAAATTTCAATTTATAGTTTCTTGTATGAATTTATTTATTTTTTATTAATAAAGTGATAATTTACTTACTTATATGTAATTTTTTTACATATAAGTTAATTTTTGCTTTAAAAAGTTATACAAAGTTAAATATTTAGAGTTAGTATTTTTTTTACTTAGATAAATAACTTTTTAGCTAATATAGTTTTATTTATAAGTTAGTTTTCAACAAAATATATTGCTTGAAAATAATTATTTATGAAGGGTAGAAAAAAAATATAAAAAATGATAAAAAAATCGTCAATTTGGTGGGTTTTGAGAACCGCTCAATATTAGACTATATCATTTATTGATGGTTTTTAAAACCGAACCGTGTTGCATTGCGAGGATGGGAGCTGCCTCGGCATTATCAGGACCTACGTGGCTCTCGTCAAGGAGAATAATCCTTTAAAATCATTCAAAATCTGTACACAAAAAAACTAGCAAACGAACCAAAAAACTAGCAAATGAATCGAAAATGAAGCTTTGCCTCTTTGCAGTTTTCCTGGAAACTTGGATTCTGTTTTGAACCGAAAATAAAGCTAAAGAGTGATGTTACTTACTCGACGATGTTGCTGAAGTATATGTTGTAGAAGAGTTAATTAAATCATCAATCACCAATATTTGTTACTGCTTACTGACCTAAAAATAAATTGTTACTGAATGTTCACCTACTTTTTTAAAAAAAATTATCATCCATCAAATGTTTCACTTCCATCCATTCAACTAGACAAAAATCTCTACGTGGCAGGTGAAAATCTTACGTGGCCACTAACGTCGTTAAAAATTGACACGTGTATATTGCTTACTCTAATTAAAGCGCTTTCTTTCCAAAAATTGAATGAATGATTATTTTCCTCCCCACTGTGTTTTCTTCCCAAACGAAGCTTATTTCAACAAATTGCATCCGTGAAGATTTTCATCAATTGAATCCTTAAGTGAAATTGCCGAATTGAAAACCCATAATATTTATAAAAACTCTAGATTCACAGTTTCATAAAAAAGAAAAAGAAAAAAAAGTCAAATTGTGCCAATGCCAAACTCGTGTCTTGATAATGAGGAACACGAGTGACCAACAATGTCCTGAAATGGTAGGCAACTGTAATGTTGACGAAGAAACTTCGTTGGTGAAAGTAGTAGAAGGACGACAAGTAGGGTTTTTTTTTAATCTTTTTTGATGAAATGTATAATATTATGTCCATAACAATTTTGTTTATATCCGTAATCGATGAATTTGTCGGCACTTTGTTGTTGTCCACGTTATTTCACTTTTTTAGAAGAGAGAACACGTGCTTTATTGTATTTTTTGGCACTTTTTTATGAATCTTAGCCTGCTGTGTAAGTTTGTCCTCCATTATTTAGTTAGGTCATCATTACAATAGGCTTTTAGGTACTGCATAGGCTCCTGAGTATTTATTGAGGATTTGGGATTCATTTGTCGTGGACATTTTAAGAACTGTATCATCATTTTTAGGAATGTATCTAGTAGCTTCATGAA